AAGTGTCCCATGAATACACCCGATGCCTTCACTATTAAGAATCAGTATAATTTTCATGGGAATGTGTTCCTGATAGGCACATTTTCAGAGCAGGACCCTAAGCCAAAGTGGACAATGGGAGTTTTGGGACCCCTAAAAGCAAAAGTTGTGGAATACTTTTTACTTGGCTCAATTGAAATAGCACAAAACCATGTACATCACAAAACTGGGTGCAAGCTTTTGAGTCCACCAGAATTTTACATCAGGATGGACACTCAGTACTAAAAGTCTAAGCAACAGATGGAAACAGAGAACAACAGTTCATGGCACGGCGGGATATTCTGGAGGTCTGCAGGTAGAGTACCCTGAAGTCTGAATACAGGATGCGAGATGGCTGAATTGCCAGTTCCCAAAAGTATATTGGTAGCAACCAGTGTTCCCTCTAAGCTGAGTTAGTGTGAGCTAGCTCACAGTTTTTTAGCCTCTGGCTCACAGATTTTTTTCTCAGCTCAGGAAGGATGGCTCCAGAGCACACTGATTTAATGCAGTAGCCAAATTGCTCACTCAGAACTTTAATGCCAGGAGCTCACAAAGTAGAATTTTTACTCACAAGACTCCACAGCTTAGAGGGAACATTGGTAGCAACCCATTTTAACTGCAGATGCAGAGATTATTCCATGATGTCCCTACCCTGCCTCCTTTTTGCTGAACATCCAATTTGATGGCATTTACTTATTATTGTTTATTTATTTACATTGCTGAAAGTCTGCCTTTCTCACTTGGAGTCAAGGCGGATTACACAGTGAGTTAATACAATCAACAGGACGGGGCAATTAATTATTATATGCTATTGTGTGTAGAATAGCCAGGAGAACCTAAGATTGTCCAACAGCCAGAAGCGCTAGCTCTTTTAGCATTCTGCATCACTAGGTAGCGAGCTAGACTTGTTTTATAAGGCAAGAGATGTCTCAGAGGTGGTTTGGTATTGCCTGCCTCTGCATCACGACCCTGGTATTCCTTGGAGGTCGCCCTTCCAAGTACTAGCCAAGGCTGACCCTGCTCAGCTTCTGAGATCTGACAGAATAAGGCTAGCCTGGGCTATGCAGGTCAGGGTTTTACAGGAAGCCTGTATTCAATACAATAGGGGATTAGGGTTTGAGAACCAATTATAAATCTAAAAACAGAACTGAAACAAAGCATAAGTCTTAACATGACACTTTAAATGATATAAAAATTACACAGTAGGTTCCTAGTTTCAGTGAGCTAAACACAGTAGCATACACCACAGTCCCTAATCACTTATCTAAGTAACTTTGTGAATCATTTAGTACAGTGCTGTCTTGAATAACTCAGTTTTGCACTTTATCTTGGGATGTTTTGGATGGTCTTAATAAAAGGTATAACATGATTCAGAGCATTGTTGTCGCTCAGTGGAAGAGCAGCAGCTTTGCATGCAGAAGATCCCGGGTACTAATCCTTGGCATTTCCAGTTAAAAAGACCAGGTAGTTGCCTAGGTGATGGGAAAGACCTGCTGTGCCTGAGACCCTGGGGAGCTGCTGCCTGTCCCAGTAGACAATTCTGACCATTCAGGTCAGGATAAGGCAGCTTCAGGTGTTCAAGACATTGCTTTTGGAATTTTTCTGCAGACTTACCTACAATCTTTGCATCGCCTCCCTTCATGCCAGGACTCAAGTGAACATGTACAAAAAACAGCAAGAGATTCTGAGCATGTACAGAGTGCCTTGTGACAGCATGGAATACAGGGTAACCGCTACTCTCTTCCTAGAGCCGTCTGGATAGAAGACTTCCAGGGGACGAACGGTACAACTTTCAGAGAAGGTTCCGTTCCAGCCCCTCTCATTTCAGGAGGGAAACAGATACAGGAGAAAGGGGGAGCGGTTCCGGTTTGGATAGCGGGGGAAAAATTTTAAAATCCACCCGCTCACGGCTGCAATCTCCCCTCCAAGTCTCGGTTCAACTGAACGAAAGGCAGGCAGGAGGGAGTCAATTGAGAGACGCCGGCGGAACGCCTTTCGTGCCGTCCACGGAAACGGCTCTGCCCGTCCAGGCGATCGCGGACACACACGGCGCGGCGGCAGGAGCACGCGGTGAGCACCGTGGAGCGGAGGCCAGACCGGGGAGCGACGGCAGCAGCTCTTCGGGCCCATGCAGGGAAGTCATTGCCGGTAGCTTGGGGTGGGCGGGAGAGGGTGTTTGTTTGCCTACCCCCCGGGACGCCAAGAAGGACGCCCCAAACGAAGCCGGAGTGACGCTGCTTTAGGGGAAGAGCCGGGAGGGGTGGCGGGAGGGGTGTCAAGAGAGGCTGCCCAAGGGGTCTTCCTCTCCCGCCGTTAACGCCGCTTTCTCTCTCCCGCTTTGTTTCCCAGGGGAGGGCTGTGTGTGTCTTTGCTGCCCAGCTTTAGCAGCCCCCGCTTGAAGCATTTCGAGCGCCCCGATTGTAAGGGGGGTGAGTCCTCCTCTCCACCCGCTGCGAGGCTAGCGGAAGCGCCAGGGGAGAACCATTGGGGAGCGAGAGCACGGATATAGGGCGAAGTGGAGAGGCAAGCTCCGCTTCACGTTGCGGGCATGCCGTGTTAAGGAAGGAAGGAGGGCTCTGATTGCGGTAGAAGGGAAAGGCCGGGGAGTGGGGGCGGCTAGGCGCGACTAGGGACACCCACACTCTCTGCCTTTAGCAGTGGACTGAAATGGCAAAAACAACAAAGGACAGCGGAGTAAGAGAGCTGCTGTAACTAGGCAGGATGTATGCCTTATGGATAACGTTGCCAGCTCCAGGTTGGGAAATACCTGGATATTTTGGGGAGAGGGCAGGGTTTGGGGAGGGGAGGGACTTCAGTCAGGTATAATGCCACAGGGACCGCCTTCCAAAGTAGCCATTTTATCCGGGGGGGACTGATCTCCCTCGCCTGGAGATCAGTTGTAATCCCAGGAGATCTCCAGCCACCACCTGGAGGTTGACAAGCTTACTTGTGGAACACGATGCTGACGACCTGCTAAGTAGTGACAGTGAAGGAGAGGGCCTGAGAAGGGCATCATCAGCCCCCTGGCCCCATCCGTTCCTACGAGTTCCTAACTGATCCTCTGCCCATCATTGCCAACGCCTGTGACATCGAGAGTGGAGGATTCAGTGCCCTCCTAGTCATGAGAGCGACTCCGTCCAGACCCATGATTTCAATCATAAGCAGTAACCGGGGTCATATAAGGGTTAGGGTGTCGGACTAGAATTTGGGAGAGCCAGGTTTGAATCCCCACTTGGTCATGGAAGCTTGCTGGGTGTCCTTGGGCCAGTCACTACCCCTGAGAGCCAGTTTGGTGTAGTGGTTAAGAGTGGCAGGACTCTGATCTGGAGAACTGGGTTTGATTCCCCACTCCTCCACATGCAGTCAGTTGGGTGACCTTGGGTCAGTCACAGTTCTCTCAGAGCTGTTCTCTCAGGAGCAGTTCTCTCAGAGCTCTCTCAGCCCCACCTACCTCAAAGAGTGTCTGTTGTGGGGAGAGGAAGCCGCCCCAAGACTCCTTCGGGTAGTGAAAAGTGGGGTATAAAACCAACTCTCCTCCTCCTCCTTCTCCTCCTCTCTTACCTCACAGAGTAGCTGTTGTAAGGATAAAATGAAGAAAGGGAGGATAGTGTCGTAAACTCTTTCAGGCTCCCTACTGTACAGAAAAGTGGGATCCAAATATTCTCTGCAGAGTCGACGTTTGTGGCCACTGGTGTTGAGATATTTGAGCATGAATATTGTAGCTTTAGGTTAAGCAAACTGGATCCTAGCATAAAGGCAGGTGAAACTCTTGTTCAGTGGATTTCATGTCATTCAGATTGCCCCGTGGAACTGGGTTCAGAATGTGGAACAACATTTTTTGGATCCAAAAATTTTGCTTAAAACTGGGTAAGCAGGGCCAGCTTGCTCACTAGGCAAACTAGGCGGTCGCCTAGAGCGGGCCGGCCTTTAGGGGCACCAAACTGCACCCAGCCCCCCCCCTGCCGAAAGCCCCCCTACCAAGCGTGGCCCATTCCTGCGACCTACCAGCCCTTGGGAGGCTCTGCCGGCAGGGGCTGGGAAAGGTGCTGGGCAAGGCAGCAGCCAGGCAAAGTGGGTCAGTCGGTGCGGAAATCTTTTGGCCGGCAACTGCAGCCCTAACCAGCAGAGGCAGGACGAGCCGGCCTCGGCGGGCGGGTGAGGGGAAAGAAAGAGGTGCCCGACAGCAGCCAAGGCCACGAACGTCGCCCCCCCCCTCGGAGTCTGGGAGGAAACTTTCGGGCCCTGCGCAACACCCTGGTTAGTGCTTGGATGGGAAACCACCAACAAAGACCCAGGTTGCTTGCACAGGCAGGCAGTGGCAAAACCACCTCTGAATATCTCTTGGCTTGAAAACCCTATGGAGTTGCTGTAAGTCTGTTGCAACTTTACGGCAGAAAAAGAGGTGCCTGCCACACCAGTCTTAAGGCAGGTTGCATGCATGGCCTGGCCAAACACGTTACCTGTTCTTTTATTCCTCTGATGCATAGACCATTTCTGGTTGGTACCTTTGGCAGTGTATCGATTTACATTGCTGGGTTTTCTTAACTAATTGCATCCTTGATTTATCTCCCAGGGCTCCCTATGTGAGGAAGAGACCAGGTTGCAAATGACAGGTTTGTTCTATGGAGACAGATTTAGAACGAGCATGTAGGATGGACAGCCCCGCACACAAGAGGAACCCCCCAACCAGGGGGCTCAGCTACTGAGTACATCCCATTTTAAAACAAACCCAACTCTCCTGCCAAAACATCCCTGTGCGGGAACTTTTGTGCCTATCTGCACCAGCACCAAATCAGAGGGCTTCTTCTGAAGAAGAAAACGAATTGTGCTCCGTCAGGATTTTGAACATAAAGATTGTGCCACTGTCCAGCTCCGACCCACAGAGCTCCTCTGACTCCTGTTTGTTCCTTTGGGTGGCCATGTTGGCATTTTCTTGGCTCCCGGAGCAGCCACACACCAATACCTCTCCCCCCGGGTCCATCATGGGCATTTTGCTGGACAGAATCCATGACTCCTCCACGGATTTCAGCATCTCACCAGGGACACCTCGCCCGTGTCTGCCGAATCAGTCTCAAAGAGACAGTGAGCTGGGCTTGTGTTGCTCTGAGGGATCTCAGGCGGGCGGCAGCTCCCTGGGGCCGGCCATCTCGTTAGTGCTGCCTATCATCTATGCCCTTATCTGTGCCAGTGGCGTCCTGGCCAACGGACTGGTCATCTCCGTAGTGCTGGGCTGCAAGCAGAAGGTAGTGTCTGACATCTACATCCTCAACTTGGCGGTGGCTGACTTGCTTTTCCTAGTTGGGATGCCGTTCATCATTCACCAGCTTCTTCAGGAGCAAGGCTGGATTTTCGGGGACTTCCTGTGCTGGGCGGCTACCACCATCGATCTCAACAACCAGTTCAGCAGCGTGGCCATCATCACTCTGCTCTGCATAGACAGGTATTGGCTGGGAGAGTGGAGAAGGAAAGGAAACGAGGTGGGGAAAACGGGATCCCTCAGTTCCTGGGACGAGGAAGCAATGTGATTGGGTGAGGAGAGGACGGAAGCTGCTGGAGAATGTTGGACTAGGATCTGAGAGACCCAGGTTCAAATCCCCACTGTGCCATGGAAACTTGCTGGGTGCCTGGACCAATCGCTCTCTCTCGGCCTAACCTTCCTCACAGGGTTGTTGTGAGAATAAAACTGGGGATAGGGGAGAATGAACTACACTGCCCTGTGCTCCTTGGAGGAAGGAAAGGATAAAATTTCATCAGATAAATAAATAATGGGCATGCTAGGAGAACTACTGGCAATATGTTACAGCTTTAAGACAGTGATTCAAGATGCTGTTTGCAGAATGTTAGTTTAAGCCTAACCCAGGAGAGCAGATGTGCACTGAGGTATCTTGACGGACAGAAGCACAGTCCACTCTCCCTTGGAAAATAGGAAAGCCTGTGGATATTTGAATCTGTTTTGTACTAGTGCTGAGCAGTGTTCCCTCTAAGCTGAGTTGGTGCGAGCTAGCTCACAGTTTTTTAGCCTCCGGCTCACAGATTTCTGCCTCAGCTCAGGAAGGATGGCTCCAGAGCAAACTAATTTATGCAATAGCCAAATTGCTCACTCACAACTTTAATGCCAGTCGCTCACAAAGTAGAATTTTTGCTCACAAGACTCCACAGCTTAGAGGGAACATTGGTGCTGAGTATTATATGGTACTACCCTTGGAAGTTGAGACTCAGATATCGCTTAGCTAAATTCTGTCCGTATAGCAGGAATACATGGTGTGTTCCTGGTTTGGCTTGTTACCTATAGCAAGAATGGCTGCAGGTTCCATTTCCTTGTGTCCTTGGGGTGTATGTGGGGGAGCCATAAAGCTTTTGGAGGGTTTCGCAGTAATCAGCTTGAACACCACGTGTTGTTCAGGTCTAAATTCTGAGGAAGTTAGGAGTAGTGTGAAAGCAGGTGGCAAGAATTTGGGCAGTGGCCTGGTTCCGTGCCCACCTGGCCTGGACTAGGAATGGCTGCAGTTACCATTTCCTTGTTTTTAGTCCTTGAGGTGTATGTGGGGGAGCCATACAGCTTTTGGAGGGTTTCGCAGTAATCACTACATACAGCTTGAACACCACGTGTTGTTCAGGTCTAATTTCTGAGGAAGTTAGGAGTAGTTTGAATGAAAGCAGGTGGAAAGGATTTGGGCAGTGGCCTGGTTCCGTGCCCACCTGGCCTGGACTTTTCCTCCTTCCATTTACAGAGGTCCTTGTGTGCCCTCCCTTAAGATCACAGCCCAACAGATTCAGTTGGGCTATCCCCCTTCTAGACCACCAAGGAAGACTCTGCAGAGGAAGGCAATGGCATCTCTGCTTCTCACTTGCCTTGCTGGGGCTTGGCGGCACTTTACACACAGAAACATACCCCTTCTGTCTTTCCCTTTTTCTCCTCATGGCTCTGTGGTGTTGTCTCTGTTCTCTTTCCATGTTCCTTGTTTCCTGCTTCAGCTGTCACCCACCCTGTGTCCTGTTGCCATTCTTTACCCCCAACTTAGCTAGGCACTGTTGAGCTGGAAGTGAAGCGTGGCCTTAGCAGACAGTAGCATTACCAGAGGACGTGGGCTGTGATGGGGCATCTGGCTGCCGTGCGTTTCTTCAAGACAGGCCCCTGCTGCTTGGGGCAAATGTTTCATGTTGCAGAGTACGGGACCGGCTCTAGTCCCTGCCACTTTTTGGTGGTGCACAGTGACAAGTGGGAAATAGGAAAGATGTTGCTGCCGTGGAAACTTGAATGGGGGAAGTAGGCATGTCTTTAAGGATATATATGAATGAGTGCTGAGTCTTACAAGAATGTGGAGCTAGAACGAGAAGTGTCTGAGGTGGACAGGCTATCTAGGATAATATGCATGCCTGCTGTGGTTTATTATTTATTTTATTTAACACATTGTAATGTTGCCTTTCAACCTGATCAGGGTTCCCCACAGTGGCAAATGTTAAAACATTTGAACAATTAAAAACTACGTTTAAAACAATAAAATAATTCAATAAAACACATAAACAAACAACACTAAAACCAGCGAGGAGGGCTAGTAAGTGTTATTGGGGGTATGCCAACTGGAATAAAAAAAAGTGTTCACTCACTGACAGAAGACACCGACAGATGCCAGTTGTTTGGTTGCTCTGTGGAATAGGCTGCGCTGTAGAGATAAAGGCACCACAAAAGTTGAGCACAGACAATATAAAAATGAATTAAAATAAATCAGTTTATTATTGTTGTTGTTCAGTCGCACAGTCGAGTCCGACTCTTCGCGACCCCATGGACCAGCTCCCGCCAGGCCCTCCTGTCTTCCGCCGTCCTCTGAAGCTGGCTCAATTTCATGTTTGTTGCATCGATGACACTGTCTAACCATCTCATCCTTTGCCGTCCCCGTCTTCTTTGACCTTCAATCTTTCCCAGCATCAGGGTCTTCTCCAGGGAGTGCTCCCTTCTCATTTGGTGGCCAAAGTATTTGAGCTTCAGTTTCATTATCTGAAACTGTTCAGTTTATTATACAATGCACTTAAAATACATATAGGCCTCAAATTAAGCCTTTTGATTGAAAGTCACCAAACTATGTAGTCCTTAGTATACAATATACAGTCCTTTCATTAGGTGACTTTCAGTCTAAAGGCTAAATTCAAGGTCTGTGTTTTTAAATTTGTATTTTAAGTGCAATGTATAATAAAATGATTTATTTTGTTTAATTCATTTTTATATTGTTTGTGCTCAACTTTCACGGTACCTAATTCAATTTTTGGGCTAGGTATCCCCCCCCCCTTTTTTGGGTCTGACCTGTAGAGAACCTGATAGCTCCTTTGACTCCAGTCTCTCTCTGTTTCTCCTCCCAGGTATGTGGCAGTGGTATACTCTTCTACCATTGGCCAGAAACGGACCTTGCGCTGTACAGCTCTGATCAACAGTGGCGTATGGGTTGGAAGCCTAGCTCTGGCCACACCTGCAATGCTGTACACCCGGGTGCACTGGGACAACAAGACCGAGATCTGTCTCATTGACTTACCTGGTCCCCACAGTATGTACTGGTACACCCTCTACCAATCGGTGGTAGCCTTCGTGTTGCCCTTGCTGGTCATTACTGTGCTGTATTCGCTGACTCTGCACCACCTTTTCCGAGCCATGAGCCGCGTGCATAGGAAGGCATCTGCCCGCAGCCGGAAGGTGACCCGCATGGCGCTTACCATTATTGCTGCCTTTTTTGTCTGCTGGACACCTTACCACGTGCTGCAGTTGGTCAACCTAACGGCCACACCTTCTGCTACCTTCTTCTACTTGTACCAGGCAACTATATGCCTCAGCTACGCCCACAGCTGCGTCAGTCCCATCCTGGTTATTTTCTGCACTGAGTTCTTCCACGAGAGGATGGCCCAGTCCAGGTGGGGGTGAGAAAAAGAGACAATGTGGTGGGAAGAGGTTCAGTGGAAGCCTATCCTGACAGGAAGTCTATAAACTTAACATTATGCAGCCTTTCAGATATGTGGTTCTCAGTGGACCAATCCAAAACGGGACCTGAATTGGGATTCTCCTGGAACATCCAGAATCCTGTCATCCCAAAAGGGGAAGAGCCATGGCTTTGGCATGAAGAAGGTCCCAGGTTCAATTCCTGGCAACTTTCTGACAAAGTCTGTAGAGCAGGGGTCTCCAATCTTGTTGAGCCTGTGGGCACTTCTGGAATTTTGAGGATGGGGAGTGGGCACCACCACAAAATGGCTGCCATGAAATATCGGGGTCAATTGCAAAATGTTGGGAGGTTACAAACTGAGCGCCTTTTTCTGATAGAGACAGCTGTTTCTGAATGGGTGCTTCTTGCAGACACAAAGTAGATGCTTCCTGGGTTCTAGCCTGGAGAACCAGGTTTTATTCCCCACTCCTCATGAAGCCAGCTGGGTGACCTTGGGCCAGTCACAGTTCTCTCAGAACTCTCTCAGCCCCACCCACCTCATAGAGTGTCTGTTGTAGGGAGAGGAAGGGAAGGCAATTGGAAGCCACTTTGAGACTCCTTTGGGTTGAGAAAAGTGGGGTATAAAAACCAACTCATCTTCGACGTGGTCTTTGTGCTTCACACCCATGGGATTCAGTGCGCCTGCGCTGGATCGATCGGTATTGTAGCAAGCTCTAACGGATTTTCGTGCCCAGACCTCAGGCATGCGCTGGAACCCCAGCCACGCATGCACAGAGGGGTGGGCACGGACATCCCACCAGTTCCTTTCTTTCTGCCGCGCTGGGAGCATCCTTTCTTGGTCGGTGAGATTGGTAGCTATTTTTTCCTCAGACGACTCTTCGGATTTTGTTCAGTCAACCCTCTTTTTCCATCGTCTTCTTTGTTTTTTGGTTCTTATATCTTAAAAAGAAACCTTTTTAGAGGGGGAAGTCTTTTTTTACCTCAGTTTGGCCTTCAGCCTCTCCCGCCCCCCATTTTCTTCTTTCCCCCCCTTTTTCTTCTTCGTTTTGTTTGTTTTATGGAGAAAAAGTGGGTTTTTTTCAAACGTAGTACTGGGTGCGGCAGTAAACTCACTCCGCCTGACGACCACTGACTTTGTATTTTTTGCCTCAGTGAGATACACCGCCCAGAATCTTGCCAGCACTGTGCCAAGTTTTCCAATCAAACGAGGAAAAATCGAGCGGCGCATCTCAGAGTAGCTTTGCTGGAATCAGCGCTAAACCTCGCTTCCGGCATGGATCCAAACATACCTGTGAGACCATCGACATCGACGGCTCCGGCGTCAAAGTCCTCGTCCAACATTGTCCAGTCGACATCAAAGCGTCCAGCACTGACAACGCAGTCTTCGGCATCCACTTCCGTAAAAAAGGAGAAATTGAGTAAGGACCACAAGTCTGCCAAGAAGGCTTCCTCTAAGCCCCTGAATGCGGCAAAGTCTGGAAAAATCGTGGGTTCTGCACTTGGTAATGCCCCTAAGGTGCCCCCCATTCTGTCGACAGTATCGGCATTGGAGTCTCCGATCACCCCACCGATACCAACATCCAACTGATGGACTCCCCTATACACCAGCTAGACCATGATACGCTGGCGGACATGCGTCCTTTCTCCGACATCGAGAATGTGGAAATCCTCAGCCGTCCCTTGGGCGGGGATTGTTCTCCCTCCGCTCAGTCATCAGCGTTGCCACTCTCGGAGCTCGGTACCGATATCGGTACAGGTTGACATCGACAGATCTCTTCCACCATTCAATGTCAACCCCCCCGCCTTTTTGCCAAGGACCGACCTTTCGATATTGATGCTTGGGCTAATAGGGGCCACTCCCGGAGACAAGAAGTTTCCCTATCCCCCAGACACCCCTGCTCCAGGAGTAGATCCCCATGGGTCTTTCTGCCCCCACCACCTCCTGCTCTCTCGTGGGATCACTGACAGCTACGCTATCTCTACGGGGCTTATCCACCGTCGTCCATGCCATGGTTGACACCGGTAGGTTATTAGGATTGGGATCGTTACTCTGTGCATCGATCCCGGTCTCCCCGCAGATCGAGGCCGACACCCTCTGCATCTCTTTCCTATCCTCCAGACCATTCATCCCAAGATCCTCCTCGACATTGACTGGATCAATGTCGACCTCCCAGTCCTCCTATTCCAACGCAGTCGATCCCAGATCCAACTGGTCAAGTGGAAGCCACTCTAGCACAACTACCAGACCCCGATTTCTCTGATTTTTCAGATGAGGATTCTGACACGGGAGTATCAGAGGCCCACAGCTCGCGTGACCAACCATCTCCTAATCAGGCAGTGGCTGATGACCAACCCATATCTCCATCAGAAAACCTAACCTCTTATGGAGACCTCATTAAGAGGATGGCCCACTCCCTTGGTCTTTCTGTGGTACAGCCGCAACCATTGGTCACTGATGCCGTATTTGATGTTGTACAATTGGATACGTCAACAGCTATAGCGTTGCCCATGTCAACAGTCCTTTTACAGGTGGCCAAAACGCAATGGGATAAACTATCATCGGCTCCAGTGTCCACATGCCGCATGGACCATGTGTACAGGGTCCAGGAAGCAGGAGTGGAATTCTTATTCACCCACCCTCAGCCAAACTCAATGGTGGTTACTTCGTCATCCAAATTGAAGAAAACCCATTCTGCCCCTTCAGACTGGGAGAGCAGAAAGCTAGATTCATTCGGTCGACGGTTCTACTCCACGGGGGCACTCGGTGTGAAGACCACAAATTATTTAGCCTGCATGAGCAGGTATCAATATACCTTATGGGAAAAGCTTTCTGAGATGTTAGCGACTCTTCCGAAGGACAAACAGCAGTTCGCCTGCACCATCCAAAAAGAAGGCATGGTGCTAGCAAAGCAACAAATTAATACTTCTAAGCATGTTTTAGACACCTGCTCAAGAACGATGACTTCGGCCATTGCTCTCCGAAGGCATTCGTGGCTCCGCAACACTAATCTGCAGACGGACACCAGGGCATATATAGAAGACCTCTCCTTCAATGGCCTTGGTCTTTTCAATAGCACCACAGACACCATATTGCAAGATATGGACAAAAGCATAAAGGCCTCTCACACCCTGGGCATTTCTTCCTCCACGAGGCGACCCTGGCAAAAACGCACCCCAAACCGTAGTCTCCTGAGTGATTGTGGAGGCAACGTACATCTTCTGGAGGCCAGAAGCCCACATTTCTGAAACCTAGGTTCAGATCGGGACAACAACCCCCTTGCCATAAGCAGGTTAAGTCCACAAAACAGGGTTTTTGACTTCCATGTTCTGCAGTCACGTCACACCCGTCTAGCGCCTTCCCTCCCAACTTGGTGCCTCATCACCACAGACGAATGGGTGCTGTCCATCTTGACCCATGGGTACTGTATAGAATTTATGCAGTACCCCACTACTCCAGTCTTCGTTTCCACTCCCCCTTCTTCAGCTCTTCTGGAAGAGGTCTCTGTCCTTCTGCGCAAGGAAGCCATCGAGCTGGTGCCACTTCACCAACATGGCACGGGATTCTACTCCCATTATTTCACCGTTCCAAAGCAGGATGGAGGTGTTTGACCAATCTTAGATCTAAGGGCGCTCAACTGCTTTGTGGGCTACCGTCATTTCCGCATGGTGTCCTTGCAGCAGATCCTACCACTTCTCCGGAAGAATGTCTGGATGGCCACTCTAGATCTCCAAGACGAGTACTTCCACCTCACCATCCACCCATCCCACCGTAAATACCTATGCTTTGCGATTGGCCAACATCACTACCAATACGCAGCTCTGCCATTCGGTCTCTCAAGTGCAGCGAGAGTGTTCACAAAGACAATGGTAGTGGTCACGGCCTTCCTTCGTCTCAGGCCGTGACCTCCATTTACCCATACCTCCATTTACCCATACATCGACGATTGGCTACTTGTTGCAACTTCTCATGACACCCTACTCTCTGACATCAACGAGACACTGACCCTCCTGAAAAACCTGGGGATACAGGTAAATCTCGAGAAGTCTCAACTTCAACCGGTCCAGAAAAAAAACTACATCGGCGCACTGCTGGACTCGATAAGTTGCAGAGCCTACTTACCACAGAGCTGGGCCGCGGACATTGTGAATCTAGCCACTGTGATGCGTACTCAACCCTCGGTAACGGGTTTCCAAATACAGAGACTCCTTGGCCTAATGGCCACTACTACATCCATCCTGGTCTTCGCCAAGTTGAGAATGCATCACCTACAACTTTGGTTTATACGCAATTTCAATCCAGAACGAGACACACACTATACCAGTCTATTCCCACCTGCCAAAGTATGGGACTCTCTACTTTGGTGGACTGCTCCACCCAACCTTTTCTGGGGGGCACCCTTCCACCCTCCATCACTGGAGATCACCCTTATGACAGATGCATCTCTCTCAGGTTGGGGCGCCCATCTGATGGGACTCTGTGTCGGCAGCAGATGGGACACACAGAAGCGGAACCATCACATCAACTTTCTGGAGCTACTTGCAATACAGTTCGCTAACACCAGTTTCCTGTGTCACGATCCTTATGGACAATACTACTGCTCTCAGCTACATAAACAGACAGGGAGGCACTGTCTCTCAACGGCTCTGCGAGCTGGCCTTCGGTTGTGGGACTTCTGCATCGCCCACAACATCTTCCTAATCGCCACGTACATACTGGGGCACATGAATGTGCAGGCAGATCAACTGAGTCGGGGAGGACTTCGTCTGCATGAATGGGAAATGAATTCTACATACCTCCTCTCACTGTTCCACAAGTGGGGGTTCCCTCAAATAGATGTTTTCGCCACCAGGGTGAACAAAAAGTGTCTGCAGCCGAGGAGGCAGGGACCCGCAGTCTTTGGGGGTCCAGGGACTTTCTCTACCTCTTCCCCCTGCTACCTCTGCTTCTGAGGGTGGTGTGCAAAATCATCAGCGACAGAGCATATTGCATCCTCATATCCCCATAGTGGCCGAGGCAGCCATGGTTCTCAACCATACTGGATCTGTCAGCAGGGATCTACCACCAATTTCCACCGGTTCAGGATCTCTTGCGCCTGAGTCTCCTCTCCTATACCACGATGTTCCACGACTGAAGTTGACAGCCTGGAGAGTGGTATCAACAGTTTTTCCTCCCGTATAGCGAATGTGCTACTGAACGCCAGAAAGGCCACTACACGCAAATCTTACCATTATAAATAGCTACAGTTTTGTTCCTTTTTGGGTGCTGCTGTCCCTCGAGCCGCTTCCGCGGGTCTCGAGAAGGTTTTTTATATCCTTCTGTTTCCCGCTGACTCGGGACTGTCACATTCCTCGTTGAAAGTTTATTTGGCTGCACTCTCAGCCTACCACGTTCAAGTTGAGGGATGCACACTTTTTTCGCATCCTCTTTCTAAATGTTTTTTAAAGGGACTGTTATACCTTTATTCTCCTATCAAACGTCCTGTGGACCCCTGGGACCTTTCCCTGGTACTTTGCCAACTCACTAGAAAACCTTTTGAGCTGCTCGCGACTTGCGAGTTGAAATTGCTGTCGTGGAAAACAGCTTTTCTGGTGGCTGTCACTTCGGCGAGGCGAGTGGGGGAAATACTGGCATTCAAACATGATTCTCCTTACCTGTCATTTTTGCCAGATGGTGTCTGTCTTGTTCCTGACATCTCGTTCTTGCCAAAGGTGGTTTCAGAGTTTCACCTCCAAGCAGAGGTCTTCCTCCCGGATTTCTTCCCCTCTCCGACATCCCCGGAGGAGAGGCTATTACACACGTTGCATACAAAGCGTGCACTTCTGTTCTGCCTTCAGAGAGCTCGTCCGACGAGATGTGACTATCAACTGTTCGTTTCCTATTCTCCAGCCAAGCTGGGAACTTGTATCACGGCTCAGCGTTTGTCAAGGTGGATTGTAGATCTGCCTCTGCTATCTTATTGCCAAGCAGCCATTACTTGGCCCTATCAGGACTCATTAGCGTGCACTTCTGTTCTACCTACAGAGAGCTCGTCTGACGAGATGTGACTGTCAACTGTTTGTTTCCTATGCATCAGCCAAGCTGGGAACTTGTATCACGGCTCAGCCCTTGATGTCTGCAAGAACTCTCGTACCAACATGGGACGTCACATCTTTGGCTTCGCAGTAATGATTTGCCAGCATCCTCCTCCAGGTAGGCCACTGCTCGCTATTCTCCCATGGGGGTGAAGCACAGAGACCATGTCGAAGATAAACAGGTTGCTTACCTGTAACTGATGATCTTCGAGTGGTCATCTGTGCATTCACACCTCCCGCCCTCCTTCCCCGCTGCTGTCAGCTTCTATGTTTTTATTGACGTTGATCTGAAGAAACTGGTGGGATATCCGCACCCATCTCTCTGTGCATGCGTGGTTGGGGTTCCTGCGCATGCCTGAGGTCTGGGCGCGAAAATCCATTAAAGCTTGCTACAATACCGATCGATCCAGCATAGGCGCACTGAATCCCATGGGTGTGAATGCACAGATGACCACTCGAAGATCATCAGTTACAGGTAAGCAACCTGTTTTTCTTCTTCTTCTTCTTCTGAAGACCCTCTTGCTTCAATGAGAAGAAGAAGGAAAGCCAGGACTGGTGTTTACTTGAAGGAAGTAAAACATTGTAGAAGAAGCAGATGGGTGCCAGGAAATCCATGGGCTGGCTGTCAGATCTGTTCAGAGCAAATACTGGGTGGTAGGATACATCAGTGGTGGGATTCAATAAAATTTCAGCTTCATGTTTTCAAATTTCCCAGCAAAGAATTACAGGAATTGGGATGACCTGCCAAGTAATAGAGGAGACAGAGGAAAGGAATAGTGCATACACTGTAAGGGAGTAGTGGAAACTGTGACATACAGTGAAGAGGAAATAATAGGGAAGAGGAATGGATGTGGTTAGAGTCCTGGGAAGGTGTGCAGGGCATTGTGACTTCTCATGGGGCAGTGCGTCATAGCATATATATGTAATAATTTAATACAGCAAAGCTGCACAGCCAGGAAAGTGCAGAATCGTGTGCAATAAACTCACTGCAATTTAGTTAATTGCAAATGAAAACAAGAACTTACTTTTATTAAAGCATATTCACATTCATATGCATTTTGTTGTAGAAGAAGAAACAGTTGAATTAAATGGTATTATTCCATATTACAAGTGGCCTGCTAATTCGGCTGCATGTGTGTGCAGGCACGAGATCATGAGTGTGGTCTTGTGTTGCACACACAAGAAAGGCTGGCAGAAACTTCGGAGAGAGAACAAAAGCACAGGAAGAGAAGGGGTCAGAGAGACGTTTCTAGCATAGACAAAGAGAGGATCACACATGTACACTGTCTGGTTCTAGAAAAAAGGTAAATATTATGCCCTCCGATGATCTTCCAAATTTGGACCTGATTGGATCCATTATCCCTAGCAGTAGTCAATGCCTTCAGCTCTAGATCAGCCTCACAGGGCTGTCCCCTTCTTTTATCTCTTGTTTCACCACCTCTCTGTCTCCCTTTGCAGGTACTGCAGATTTCTCACCAGGTGGAGAAAGAGACGAGAAAAAGCTTCCTTTTCTATCCCCGAAAGCACAGCCATGGTGTACAGCCCTCAAGTGAGCCACGGTGTGCCTCCCTGCCATCACGATCCATTTGGGACAGAAAAGCCTTTGTGTTCCCTTACAGAGACCACCGGATTCAGCGATGTTGTCAGCGGGCACGAGGAAGGCAGTGGGGTTCAAGAGCCTCTGTGATGGGTATATGGATATGGTAATGATGTTTCTCCTGAAGCACAAGGTCTGAGGGCATGTTGCAGTTCTGGAAAAGGGTTCAGGTGGGTGTTGACAAAGCACATCACAACCCAAGAGCCTCCTGGTAGCAAGAGAGTTATGGTGAAAGGGCATCGCACCTCTTTGCAGGACCAAATGGAAACCATCTAAGAACGCTTGTGGAAGAGAATTAGATGAGGACATTTGGAGTTGTGGGCGGGATGGCTTGTGGCAGAGCTGGACCTTAGTGTTCTGTGATGAATGGGGTAAAAAGCCTTCATGGTCAGTACTCACTGAAACGTCCAGAAAAACTGGGAGATGTGATCGTGTCAGGGCTAGTCTGTGTGTGGAAAATATTGAAGGAAAGACAAAGTGTGAGAGATTCCTGGATCCTCCCTGGTGAGGGAAGAGAAGCCTGAGGGACAGGCTAGAAGGATGTTGTAAAGACAGGCCATGTTTACGGGCTTGTAGAAAAGGACACGAATGTGATTTTTTTTAAAAACCAAATCTGACAGAATAAATGGTGAATCCTGTCATTGTGAGGAGCTGCGGTGGCTCAAGTGGTTAAGACACTGAACTGCAGGCTGTGGAAGGTCAGTAGTTCAGCAGTTCGAGACCTGGGTGCCGCATGATGGAGTGAGCTCCCATCTCTAGTTTCAGCTCCTGCCAACCTAGCAGTTCGAAAGCAAGAAATTGCAGGTAGATAAATAGGTACCACTTCGGTGGGAAGGTAACAGCATTCTGTGCACCTTGGTGTTTAGTCATGCCGGCCACATGACCACGAAAACGTCTTCGGCTTTGAAACAACCCTAGAGTCGGATTCGACTGGCTTTCGAGCAAGGGAACCTTTACCTTTACTGTCATTGTACTCTTCAAATTGTATGTGTTTATGTTGGGGAGAGAGATCCTAAGCAGAAGTAAGTCCATTGAATGAATTTACTTTAGAGAGCCACTGTGGTGTAGTGGTTAAAGTGTCAGTTCAGGATCTGGGAAACCCAGGTTCAAATCCGCACTGGACCCTGGAAGCTTGCTGGGTGACTTTGGGGCAGTCTAACCTATCTCACAGGGTTGATGTGAGGATAAAATGGAGGAGAGGAGCCCAGTGTAAGCTGCTTTGGGTTCCCATTGGGGAGAAAGGGAAGATATAAATAAAGTAAATAATAACTTCCGAATAAATGCATACAGGACTCGGAGGTAATTAAGACAATCTAAGGCAGTGTGCATCATGTGTATATAGGAGCACTCCTGGTAATTTATAGTTATTTTACATACTGTCCAGATATTATATAGTCACAACAGCATCCTAGGCAGCCATAGATCACTGTTCTCTAGTGTCCACCTAGCTAAATTCGTGCACTCATGTACTGCATTCCAAAATATGGTGCATATCTTAACAGAATTCCAATATCTCTGGTTATATTTCATCCCAGTACATGAATCAGGGGTGTCAATGAAATGTTATCCATACAGGACTGTCCTGTCTTTCGCAAAAGAGTTTTTGGTACCGTAGTGACTACCGCAGTTATTGTGATATATACTGTATTAGAGCCCTCTTTCATCTGATTAAGTGGGTTGTAGCCCATGAAAGCTTGTGCCACAATAAATCTCTTTGTAAGGTATCACAGGGCAATTTTGGTTATGCTGAAACATGTTAGCACAGTACCCCATCTAAAGCATATTTTTCCTAGATACCATGATTTGGGGAACTTTTTAAAAAGAAAAGTAATTGTTGCAGGGTAGAAAGAAGCCTTGGATCTAGATGGTCTGTTCTACAACAAAAATAATTGTTTCCTGCTGTTTTAGAGGGTTTTTTAATAAAACTGATCAGAATCACTGTACTTAAGCATTTTAGCACTTTCTGTTTCTTTGATACTCTGTTGATTGCCAACCTCAGGTTGCTGGCATATGTGACGAATAATGAAAATCAAGACTGCAAAGGAAAAGTGGAGGCGACAAGGGGAGAAATTGTCTTTGCAATACTCTGCAGTTCTTCTGTAGTGTTCCTGATTTTTGACAATAAGCAATTGCAGTTTGCAAACTCTCAACATCCATGGAACTCTTCTACATTAACTTGTTTACCGGGGAATGCCTGAACATCTGCCATGCACACTGTAGATCTTGGAGACTTTTTTTAGGGTATATGCTTAGGGTGAAGGCAGACATTCATTCTAAATTAAATCTATATGTCTAAAGATGTCTGTTCTGAGCGGCTGTGGTATAGGGGTTAGGGTGCTGGATTGGGATGGGGGACACTTGGGTTCCAATTCCCCCTCAGCCACTAAGCTCCTTAGGTGACTTTGGGCCAGTCACTCTCTTACCGTCCATCCTAAGTTACAGGGGTGTTGTAAACATGAGGACATCACGTATACAATTTTGAGCTCCTTGGGGAAAGGGTGAGATAAAAATATAGTAACAGCAAATGCAGCAAAATAGCTTGTATGTTCACTTGTTTGAAAGGCTGTAAATGTATGTCCTCCTAGCTCAGAGGTGTCAAACTCATTCATTACAAGGGCTGGATCTGACAAATGTCACTTTGTCCGGCCGGGCCATGTGTGCCATAAAATGCAATGCCGGGTAAGAGAGCTTTATGAAGCTTTATAAGCTTTATGAAGGACACAAGCAACCCCAATTTACAATATTATTTTTTTACTAAAAATACAAACAGGCTTAAAACATTAGCACTCTTACTGTATTTCCTTAAAGTATCATCCTGATGCTCACCCTCCCACTTCCAGCGGCTGTTACGCATTTGCACTGGACTGTATACAGGGACATAATGCACAGCCTCTGTCATCTGGCAATAAACATAACCCTACCAATGGTGGATTTCCCATTTTTACAAGCTCTAGCCCAGGGGTGGCCAAACTTGCTTGATGTAAGAGCCACATAGAATAAAGTCAGATGTTTGAGAGCCGCAAGACATGAACAAATATTACACATTTTTACTGGAAAATATGCAAATTTGTTTTTTATTTACATTAAATGAGACTGCCAAAAATAATAACAAAAGCGGTAAAAGCAGATATTAATAATGACATTTATTTGTTCAATGATATTTGTTTGCTAATGATATTTAGCTTCCCCAGCTGCCCTGCCGGGAGCCGCACAATATGTGTGAAAGAGCCGCATGCGGCTCCCGAGCCACAGTTTGGCCACCCCTGCTCTAGCCTTTTAAAAATTTCTATGCAGTAACTCCCCAGAAGTTGGCACGTTAACACATGAAGGTTAACACACCAAGGTCAGCATTGTCTATCCTGACTGGCACTGGTTCTCCAGAGTCTCTGGTCTTTCACATACCTGTTCCTTCTAGCTGGAGATGCTGGGGACCAATGTTCCCTCTAAGCTGTGGAGTCTTGTGAGCAAAAACTCTACTTTGTGAGCTACTGGCTTTGAAGTGGTGAGCAAGCATTTTGGCTGCTGCATCAATTAGCTTGCTCTGGAGCCATCCTTCCTGAGCTGAGACAAAAATGTAGGGTCTGGGTAAAAGTCGGATCTAAATGGATCCTCATGAATTCATATGATTTTTACACTGAAACGAAATAAGACCACCATCATATTGTAGGCCATGTGTTAGTCTACAAGGGGCACCACAAAAATCACACACCCACAGATTCGTGGCACCACAGCAGCACAAAAACATGATTCCAAAGGACGGATCCTCATGAATTCATATGATTTCCACGCTGGAATGAAATAAAACCTACATCATACTGTAGACCATGTCTTAGACTATAGGCAGCACTCCAAAAATCATGCCCCCATGAATTCGTGGCTCCACAAAACTGCAGAAACATGGTTCCAAAGCATGGATCCTCAGGGTTTTTCAATTGGGTCACCCGAAACACACCATCAAATCACATAACATGTCCACGGCCACAGCCTGCAGCACAAAAATCACAGATCCACGGCTTTGTGGTGACACAATTCTGTAAAAACATGATTCTGAAGCACGGATCCTCATGGATGCTTGGGGTTTTTGTGTTGGGACACCCCAAACATACCATTAAATCCCATATCATGTCCATGGCCACAGCCCGCACCACAGAAATCACGGTGCCATGGCTCTGTGGCAACACCATGCTACAAAAACATGGTTCTGAAGTATGGATCGTCATGGATCTGTATGGTTTTTGTGTTGGGTCACCCCAACATCACCATTAAATTACATACCTTGTCCATGGCCACAGAATGCACCACAGAAATCACATGTCCATGGTTCTGGAGCATGGATCCTCATGAATGCTTTGGGATTTTGTGTTGGGACACCACAAAAGATATCATTAAATCCCATGCCATGGCCACTACTTAC